AAGATCCTTGAGGAATTCCAAGGTTCACGTTACCCCCACTACTGCGTAGTTTTTTCCCACCTGATATTACTTTAACTGTCTGAATTCGGCGTGATAAAAATGATTTCAGAAGATCGTATGTTTTTCTTCACATACCATAGTGACATAGTTTCTCCAAGAGTGACTGATTACATCAAACGCTTTTGACAGGTCACGCATCATTCCTGCTACTTTGTAGTAAGTACCATCCAACCCCGTAATTATTGAGTCCACCACCCTCTGTGCAGCCGCTGTGGTGGACTGGTACTTACGATAGGCATAATGTTTGTTTGCCACAAGATCATTGTATTCTAAATGTGACATTAGGTGAGACGAAATAATCGACTCAATTATCTTTGAAATATTTGGTACAATAGTTATAGGTCTATAATTATCAACTCTGTTCATCTCACCTTTGCCCTTGTACATAGGAAGTAACTAAACAGTAACAATTGCTCACATTACTGCTTGGCGGCAGAAATAGGTAAGGCGGCAGGACTTCCCTGGACGAACTCTTCCACAAGGAGCTCTACTCAGTTATTTATATCAAGAATGGTGACCCAAACCAAAATATACTTTTCTTACTAAAACGACTGCAAAATTTATTCATGAAAAGACATCGAGCTTTTTTCATTTGTTAAAATAATCACCGGCTAAGATAAGGCTAAGAATTTCTAAAGAAAATCAGGAACACTGATGATTTAGGCGTGTTTGAGATATGTCGCTATTCTAAAAAACCAAGGCAAAGTGGTGACATGATTAGTGGCATTAATTTATTAAGTATACAAGGTGAATTACAGTGTGTTATTTTTGTCTTTTTAGGGCCTGTCAAGATAACAAACGTTCACATGTTAAAGCCTTCGGCTACTTAAGTGTAACGTTCGTGCAATTGTAAGCGTGCGTTAAAAAGACATCTGTGCCTCTATTATGAGATTACAGTGAAAAAATGTTTTTTGTCCTTGTGACCGCTAGGGCGCTACACAATTTACCATACAAAATTGTGAAGTAATTTACGCGGTCGCTAGCGACAACTGTCACAGTAACTTGTGGTACAGGCACTTTTTAAGACGGGCAACTCCGGATTTCTTTATGATACCGAGTGACGGGACGATCACTCTTGCGCCTGGTGTTAAGCGACACACCTGTCCATAACAACTGCAGTGTCACTTAGTGCACAAAGATGCCACTGCGCCCATCACCTTGAGACATAAGTTGACAAGCCCCACGCGTCTTTAATTTCACCAACAACCTCACCCTTCAAAACCAAAACGCAGTAATGCTCACATTACTACTTGGTGACAGAAATAGATAAAGTGGCAGTACTTCCCTGGACGAACCCTGTCACAAGGGGCTCGTCTGCTACTAAGGCTACTAACAGATTGACTGCATGTTTGCAGTTAATACGTGAAGTCGTAATCACCTTCATGCAGCCGAGTCCTCGATTGCATGAAGTTGATAACGACCTCACACATTAACTGCATGCAGTTAATCATCAAACTGCATCCCGTCGTGGTCTCGGCTGCATAAAGTTGATTACGACTTCCCGCATTAACTGCGAACATGCGGTCAACCTGTTAGCAGCCTAAATAAAAAGATTGTAATACTTTTCATACAATACGTAACTACAGATACAGCTGTTGGGAGTGCACCAAAAGAGCCTCCCTGCACGACGTACCATTCGTTCCTTTTCTGCACGTCTGGCGTACCCTAAGCAACAATAGGCGAGTACTTTACGCCCTTTTGCAAAACCACAATGGCAAGCAATATAGTGTATTTTTTTATAGTACCAAGTGACGGAACGAACAAGTAGCTAAGCTGGTAGTAAGTCATAACAGCCTGCCCATAACAGTTGCAGTCTTACTCAGAGCTTTAAATCTTAAAGATGCACGTGGGGACACTGGGGGCACCGCCACTGCGCCCGTCACCCTGAGACATAAGTTGACAAGTCTCATGTGCCTGTAATTTCACCAGCACCCTTACCCTTCACAACCGGAACACAATAATGTGACCATTGCTGCCTGGCGGTAAAAATAGGTAAGGAGGCAGTACTTCCCTGGATCAGCTCTATCACAAGAAACTCTACTGCTACATACAGATGCAGAAGATGCAATGTATAAGTTGCGACGCAATAGTCAATCCTTGTATAGGACATGTGACGCCAAGGGATGTACGCCACAATGCTCCAAAGGTATACAATGTGAATGGGTGTAAAGGGAAGGGAAGACCGAACAAAAGATGGATGGAGTGTGATGTGTATAATAGGCGTAAACAACGGGAAGAATAGGAGAACAAAACATAATGCATCCACCCGAAATAATGGGATAAGGGCAAGAATCCGACTCGTACTCATGGCGGTTAATAATACATTACGATTGATAATATTATTGATGAATGTTATTATGAATGTTGCAATATTAGCAGCGAGTAAGAGCTGGAATGACCTGCCACCTCCGGTAAAAAATAATCAAACAATACATTCTTTAAAACCAATGTGTGACAATGGCTCTTGTCTGTGTAGAAATCGAGTAGCAATTGGTCCGTGGTAAGGGCGCGTCCAAATTAGCTGGTGATGTTTTATCTTTCTAACTCAGTTACGCGATGGATTTTACTTATTTTGTTAAAACTGAAGATGAAAGAATTAAAAAGAATATCTGAACGTATTATAATATTATAATATATTTTACATAGTAGATAGGCTAAGAGTAAAGCTAATGATAGTTTCCCTCGTTTATATAATCATTAATAATAATAATAACGCACACACTCAACATAGCCAAGGGAAACCCTGTGTCGTAGGTGCCATGGACACACACACAGAGAAATATATGTAGACCATACAAATATTTCTATCGGCCCGGGAATCGAACCTGGGACCTCTGCGTGGCAGTCGTTGGTAAGTCATGGTAACCGTTCGGCCACGGAGGCATTTAAATAATACAATATTAAACAAAATGTTATCGGTAAGTAGGTACCTTTAAAATTAGTGATGAGTGGACAAGTTTTAGATGTTGAAGTCATAAAGATAAATTCTGGCATGCTGTTATTTATTTATTTTTATTCATTTAAGTATTTCATTTATTTATTACTATTATTTTCGATATCTGGTTTAGACTATTTTATGTTCAATATGTGGTTTACATACAGGGTCCGTCCCAAAAGTATCGAACATTTTTTTTGGGAGTGTTGCCGAACGGCGGGAAGCGCTCCGCTTGGCAACAGAAAGTGGTGGGGGGATCTAGCCGATACAGCGCGACCGGTCCCAGTTCGCGTAGAGCTCTAAACGACACCACGTCGAAGTTTTTAAAAGTAGCGCGATGACGGATCCGTTAGAACAGAGGTACGCAGTGAAATTTTGTGTTCTACTCGGCAAAAATACTGTGGAAACCAACGAGATGATTAAACAGGCCTTCAAGGACAAAGCCTTGTCCGAATCCTCGGTCAGGAAGTGGCACAAGATGTTCCGTGACGGAAGGGAAGAGGTGACCGACGAAGCCCGCTGGTCCCGCAGCCTCCCTACAGTCCTGACGTCGCCCCGGCAGACTTCTTCTTGTTTCCCAGCATCAAGTCGAAGCTCAAAGGCAAGCATTGGGGCACAATTAAGGACATCCAAGAAGCTACGACGAGGGCGCTGAAGGACCTACCCGTTGACGTCTTCCAGGGGGCCTTCCGGGCATGGAAAACTCGCCTACAAAAGTGCATCGATGCTGAAGGGTGTTATTTTGAAGAGTACTAATGTATGGTACCGATAAGTTCAATAAAAGTATTTTTCCTAAAAAATGTTCGATACTTTTGGGACGGACCAGATACATATTCTGTTGTGCCCTCAGTTAATTACTATCTCAAAGTTTTTCCTGTAACTCGAACGTAGCCTGGAAGAGATTGCTATGTAGCAATAAGGCTGCCTGTCTTTTTATTTTTTTGTATTATATTGTATTTGTCTCAGTGTGCACTAAGAATGTTTGTATTGTATTGTTGTTTAATGATAAGATAAATAATCACAGTAATGGGCTGTTAATGTAAACAACTCGTCGTTAGGCTAAAAAGAAAAATATCTACCAAAAATAAGTGACCTTTTCAATGCAGCTACTGCCTTTCGTGTCGTCACCAGAATGGTGAAAAAAGTCACAAGTGTATTATTACCATTCTTCGTGTAAGAAACCGCCAAGGATTGATATAAGCGTTTCTACATTACTTAAAATATTGCTAATATAGCTTTAGCAATTTCATATTAACTAAACAACCTGAAAACTCACATATTCAATTAATCTTTTGTTTTCAATTTAGATCCAAAAGAAACAAGTGTCATTTCCTATGCGCAATAATCACGAAAACCTGAAAACTCGTCACATATCGTCACCTTACTTTCACAAACTCCTATCATAAAGTATAAAGTACCGGAAATGCAAAATATGCATTGTATACATTGACTTACAAATAAATGGACGACGGGTCTAATACAAAAACCACGAAAAAAATGTCCCAAGTCAACCTATTCGAAATTTAAATTGTAATGTCATCGCAGTATCGCGCTTTCAGTAGAACAAATGAAGACTAAAGCGGAGTTTGGCGCTCTGTATACGATTTTAGCGCCTTACAAGTGCGGACACTTTTTAGCGCGGACCCGACGTCCATATAATTGTAAGTCAATGATTGTATATACAAATTTTGGAGACTGACTTCACATCACAATTCCTTTATATTCACACACTAGGTTTTATCTTATCTTAAAGAAATGCATGCAAATTACAACCCTTGATAAGAAATTTAATATAAATAGAAAGTTTTGCTATCTCCTGAATAATCATTCTTTTTAAGATACGAGTTCGAGAAAGTAAGGCATCGATATTTAATTTTATAATTCGGGTTAGTTGATATATATGAGTCTTACGGTAGTTTTCGCTTTTTTATTTATTTTTTAGTTATTTCCAATAACTACATTCATTAGCTGATGTGGTGCATTTTTATACACCAGCTGTATGTACCTGTTAGGGTTGGGCAGCTGCAGCAGCGTGATGAGGAAGTCTATGCGCTCCTCGACGTCCTTGGTAGTCATGCCTGCGATCCAGCCGAAGTAAATCATTGTCTCCCGTATTGAGAACTCGCCGAATAGAGCAATTTCCTGTCGTGCCAAAAAATATTACGTTATTTTTATATTTTACTTTATTAAAAAAAACTATTTAAGTAATTTTATGTACGCGCTCAAATCGACTTAAAATAAATGATTGAATGAACGGACGAATGAACGAATGAATGAACGGATGAATGAATGAATGAATGAGTGAATGAGTGAAAGAAAGGATAAAATTTATTTATTTTTTAATGATACCAAGTGAAGCGACGAACAAGTCGTGCGCCTGATGGTAAACGATATCATTCCCAAAAAGCACACTTTATAAGCCTTAAAACTGTTATATCTATAAACAGTCTTAATATGCTATAGATTTAGATAATAGTTCTCTGTAAATGGTTTTAGGAAAAAGAAATTGTTCTTATAGGCTTATTTCACTCAAGTCAAAATTTTAATACCTTCTTAATACCAAGCAACTTAATTAAGTGTAATCTCTCTTAAGATTTACTCTTATAGTCCTTATTTTAAGTTCATATGTAGAACAACTGATTATTTTTAACCGACTTCAAAAAAGGAGGAGGTTCTCAATTCGACTGTATGTTCTTTTTTTTTGTTTTTTTTTGTATGTATGTTACGCGATAACTCCGGTATTTGTGAACCGATTTTCATGATTCTTTTTTGTTGGAAAGAGGGTAATTCCATAGTGGTCCCATTTTATTTTGAAGAAAATCAACCACCTCAAAGGGTGGCTGTTCACGCATGAAGATTCATTTTTATAAATAGCGCCTGACTTTAATTTAGGAACAATTACTTTTAGAAATTATTTAGTTGATTTTGCTATTTCTCCGATTCAAGGCGTTTTTCTCTCGATGTATATCGAGTAGGGTCGTAGTGAGAACCTATTTTTATTATCTCCAGTATCAAGTCCTGTATAGTGGCGAACTAGGGGATATTTCAACGAAACTTAGCAAATAGATGTAATTCCACGTACTTTTGAGGTCGGTTTTTTTAGTACTCTGTACTGAAATTATTAGTAAAATTGTTCTATACACATCCAGTAAAGTCTATTAATACTCTAAAAACTAGTGTTCTTAAGTTTATTCTAGACATATTTATAGACATTCTGTAGTGTTTGTACTTATTGACAAACACCTTATAGCGGGTCTTCAGAAGATTTTATTTTAAAAAATACTACGATTAGGGTTTTTTGTAAGAGTTTATGCAAAATGGATAAAGTAAAGAATATAACAAAATCTGGTGGAGGTGGTAAACCTTGGATATTAAGTCACATCATTCGATACAATCAGCGTTGCCAATGCCAATTGTTCAAAAACCCCAAAAATCGCGGTTAAAATCTTCAAATTTGGGGAGAGCAAAGTTCATATTCCCCACAAATTCCCCACATCTCGAATTTTCATTATTTATTAGAAATACATCGCTTAAAAATATAATAAAGAATTAAGAAACTCAAAATGTAATAAACTATTACGTATGCTGTGAATGTAAACAGAATGTAAAAAGTAAAACTAATTATAAAATTAGATTACCTTAAATCGTTTATTTATTTTAATAATAATAATAACGTACACACTCAACATATACCCGCACTAGGGAAACCCTGTGTCGCGGGTGCCATGGACACACACGTAGACAACCACAAATGACATCCAAACTCACGAGAGAAATAAATGTAGGCCATACAAATATTTCTCCCGACCCGGGAATCGAACCCGGGACCTCTGCATGGGAGTCTAAGCATGGTAACTGTTTGGCCACGGAGGCAGTTATATTAATTATAATATTTATTAGATTCAACATTAATCTGTAATCAGTCTGAACAAAAAATCATTTTTCTTTGCCTTACAAAATTAAAGTAAATTGATTATTTGTTTTGCATTTGGTGACACTAGAATAATAATAACGTAAAATAATGTTAACGTTAGAAATAATCAATGAGAATCCCCACATTTTCCTCACATTGCGCCAATCCCCACAAAATCCCCAATCTAGTTGAAACTCCCCACAATTTGGGGAATTCCCTATTGGCAACGCTGGATACAATAGTCGTAATTCGCGCTCGGGCCGGTCATGGCCGGCATTTGTTTGTTGACAAATAAATAAACATTGTGAAGTAATTCCGTATTGTGAAACGATAAAAACAATTGAAATGAGCGCGTAAACTACTGTACTTCAATGTTGTGTATGTGTATTGTGCCGTCTATCAATAGAATACAGTGAAATCATTGTGTGAAATGTGGTTGGCGTGAAAAAATAACCTCAATTTTGTAATGAAAATTTTGTTTCTTCCAACATAAGTTAGGTATATCATTAAAATATTCCTTATATTTATATGATAGGAAATTTATACACCTTTCTAGTCATATTATAACACATTCCATACAATTATACAGAATAACGCTTTTTTGCGATAAATTGGATTTTTTCACTTGTTTTTTTTTGACCTAGTGTTTTGAAAAGTTTTTTATTGCATAATACGCTCACTATTATAAAGGTTTTGTAATACTGTCAAAAGAAAAAATCGCTTAGAAACATCGCGTTTTGTAGACAATTATAAAAACCTCATGGGAGGAATATTCTTCTACAAGATCAACTACACAAAAGCAATTAAAAATAATCTTTTCATATTCTAAAGTTTATTCTATAAATAAAGCTATAGACAAAATGCTCCCAATTGTGTTTTGAAAAAAGCTTTAAATTCTTGTCGCCATTTTTATTTTTAAAGAATGACTATGAAGTAGCCGAGAAAAATTTCTTTTCTTTTTAAAAAGTAAATCTAAGTTGAAATTAGCTTGAAGAAGCCTAGAACTTCTTGGAAATGGTTTGTTTTCTGAGTTATTTTGTATATTTAAGCTTTCGATAAATATTTAAAACCGAAAATCGATAACTGTATTTTTATTAAGTTTATGTTTTATACATAAATATTTAAAATTTAGCGAGCGCATTACTTTTATGGCAGGTTTTACATCTCTCATCATCTTTTCACAATGTATTTAAAGTCGCACGTCAATTTCCGGTTTCTAACCGATTAAACGTTGCGCGAAAAAGTCAGAAATATTATATCTAATTTCGCCATGTTGCAATTTTGATAGTTTATATTTTGTAAGCCATTAAACTTGAAATCTATTAGTATTAAGAGAATTGCGTCTTATGTTTGTAACGCTTAAGTATTATGGTTTTGAAATAGCATTATAAGAAAACTATCATAGACTATAAATTATCTAAAAACTGTCTACAAGACTAAATAAAGACCGTCTACATTCTACAAATGGTCTTGCAGCATTCTAGAAGGGTTACTTGAAAAAAAAAAGATAAGAATCACTCTTAACACTACCTACAGATAGTTTCTCAAAGCACTCTTGTGATCTACTAATAAAGTTATGCCCACTTTTACTTTAAATTATCTGGAAACCTGCTTCGAGATATCTTGAAGGAATTTAAACTCTTAAAATAAGCAATCGAATTAAATTCTATTAGATATCTTATAGTATATATTTAGATATGGATGTGCTGCTTGGAATTGTCCATAACAGTTGCAGTGCCTGCTTTAAAAGACAAAAATCTGAGGGACACTACCACTGCGCCTGTTACCCCGAGGCATAAGTTGATAAGTCTCATGTGCCCTGAGCCAGTGTTGATATTGTTACAAAACCCTTCCGTTGTTGGTATCATGAAAAAAACCACGCACAATTTGACTTTTATTTACTACCTCGGTGGCCGAACGGAGACCATACTGGTCAACGCATAGGTCCCGGATCGGACGAAATATTTTGAGTGTGTGCGGGGTTTATGTTGAGTGTGTGCCCACACTAGGGAAACTCTGTATAACGGGTGCCACGGACACATACATAGACAATCACAAATTACACACAAACTCACGAGAGAAATAAATGTAGGCCATATAATAAGGCCAAATATTTCTCCCAGCCCGGGAATCGAATTTGAGACCTCTGCGTGGCAGTCCAGCATGGTAACCGTTCAGCCACTAAGGCAATTGTTTTGCATGTCAAGTAAAGCCTATTTTATTTTATTATTTATTTCTTTTTTATTTACTTACACACGTTAATTCATCTTTCATGTCAAATAGTGTATGTTTACCCAACTAGTTCTAAATAATGACCAATTTGCAGCTGCAAAAAACCGAAAATCCGTAAGGCCTGCTGACTCAGTGGATATAGCAGCGTTCCTTGATTGAAACAGATGCAGGTTCCACTCCTATCAAGTCGAAGGAATTTTTGTTTGTGTTCGATCTTTGTTAATATAATTAATGACCAATTTATTTATGGATCAATTCCGAGACGTGGGTTTCATACAGTTCATACAAATAATAAACAAAATAAAAAGCATTCAATTATTATGTTATTAAGTCACTAAGAAACTGCACTACAAATAAATTAAAAATCAACAGCAACCTATCAAAAAGTCAACAACAAAGTGTAAAATCAACAGCAACCGAAACGAAATTTCAAAAATATCCCACAAATCTCAAAACAAAAGAAAACGACCCGCATACAAGATATACATATAATGCACTCATATTGACGCCAGTTATACAATTGCCGATACGTTTATCGATTCTATAATGTAAATCTCTATGGATAAATATTCCGTTTTACGCATCAAGCAGTTGGGGTAATTTATTTTTATCTTTATCATTTCATTTTCTATCTACTTAATGTACTGTAATGTCCTATTGTCCTCGCGCGTTTTATTCTCGTATAGTATATTTAAATTTATTTCACAAAAATTTCATTTCAAGACCAAGTCTCTTAAGAGCCAATCCAGAATCATATGTCGTGAACACTAAAATTAGCTCCTTAGAAATGTTTGATGAAAATAAATATTTCACAGCACACACTTCAAAATAAGTTCGCCTAAGGTTGCTTCATCTTACGAAAATATGATATTTCTTACAACTTCGTTCATACCACTGCAAAACTTAATTCCATCAATGACAGTGATGCAATTTCTAAGCGATCTCGGCAGATACTTATACGCTTCTCACACGGTCACGCCTCAGCTACACCCCACAC